CCCCCTCCCCCCCTCCCCCCCGCCCTCCCCTTGCCCTCTCTCCCTATTGTCGCAATGTGTGGACATGCCGCCGCCACCGCCCGCCGCCGCCGCTGCCGCCGTCGCGCATCACTACCGGTACGAGTAATGCGTTGTAGAAGGAGGCAGGAGACAGAGAAGAAGGTTAGGAGCGGCGTTTTACCCCAAAGCACACCATAAGTGTGAAGCCGTTGATGGGAAGTGGTGAGCCGCGGCACGCTCCACGAGCATCCCTCCAGGTGCAGCCAGGAAGCGCAGCGTCGGCAATCGTCCGGCAGACGAACGGCATCTTCGTGAACTCAGCAGGAGCCAAGCCACGACTAAGAATGTACGGCTACCGGCGAATGTAATGACCCCGACGTATACGTTCAGGATACCTCATGATGCTCATCCTACGCCTTTCTGTGCTTGAACCCCCATACCCCGCCCTGTAGTGCTGAAACCCATATCCACGGCCTTTTAGCATTTGACCCCTATCGCATGCTTTTCGGGTGAACCCTAACCCTACACCTTTCGACGCTGGAACGATCATGATACAATAAGACGACCGATGAGAAACAACGCTTGGAGGAGCCCACCAACTCCAATAGTACCAACACTTCTTGCTGTGTTCCTGAAATATTTCCACACTCCACCCCACTCATCCCAAACGTCTTGCTTTAGAGGGGTTGTGTGGTGGAAGATAGGGCGCCCGGAGATTCGGAGTGCCATGCTGAGACCTACTTTAGCAGTGACTGCTGTGACTCTGTTGCTACCATTTAGCTGATTTCAGAGCACTGCGGTGATACAACACCATCTTTGCATGGTATCGGACATCTCTGTAACCTTTGAGTTTCTGGGTTGGCGGCGGCCTTCTTACCAAAATTCACCATGACGCTCCTGAGCGACAGCCAAAGCAACAGACNNCACACACACACACACACACCTCGCAATATTCGTCACTGGCACATAGCGTCACGCATGCAGATGGACTTGATGCAGCTGCTTTGAGCACCCATCCCCAAAGCAAAATTACAACTTCTGAAAACTTCCGCAAGCCATCACGATGCACCATCAATGAAACTTTAGGCAAGCTTCATGTGACGGTAGCTGATGTGAGGGAACCTTGGCATAGCAAGTTTGAGGCACGCGGCAAATTGCGCAAGCTATACATGGGGGCGCATGGCTGCCCTTAGATCATCCAAAATACGCTGATCCAATTCTGAAGAAGATACCCATACTCTTGCAAAACTGTCATATGTAGGCTCTCGCTAATGGATGCCACACCATCCGCTCTGTGGCCCTGCAGTGATCCGTATTCTCAGCGTCACGCAAGGGCTTGCCAATCAGGTTCTCCTCCAAACAATCCAGCTGGTAGCTACCAACAACGGGGTTTAGGGTTCAGGGTTTGGGGATACCTTGTTGCCGGGATACCTTCTGAGGGTCCTGGTGAACCTTGCAGTAGGGATCATTGAATTTGGGGTGCATGCAAGCAGTACACCTCTTTCTTGAAGATCACTTCTTAACTTGGTATACCCTACAATCCCCAATGAATAAGACGACAAACACCCCTGCATTTGAAAACTTTTCACACTGGAATGATGGGCCATGCCTCAGCTTGCATTCGTAGAAGGGAGGTTCTGAAAAATCACGGTCATAGAATTTACGTCCAAAATTAAAGGCCTGAATCAAAGTGGGAAGCAAGCCAGTAAAAAATGCAAAGACATTCAAAGCAAATTGTGTTCATGACAATGATAATTATAAAAACATAAATGTGGCCAAACTACGGTCAAAAATGGAATTACGAACAAGCAGGAAGGTCGTTGAAGGGCATAAATCCTGACAGGGAATGACAGAGCCACAGTAAGGCCAACATCAAAGTCACTTGGGAGCTTAAGAACCAAACCAAAAGTTTTTTTTTGACAGAAGGACATTCATGTTTGCATACCCTTCCCGCTGCTACGCGCTTAGCTAATAGTTGGCTAACTGTTGCTGGGGACGTGGGCTTGCATGATCCATCTCTGGGAAAAACCGTTCTGCTACACTCAGGCAATCGCCCCGAAGCATTTTTCCTAAGCCAGGGCCACGACGCAGAAAATTGCGCAAGCGGTGAAACAAAGCTCAGACCTACACTTGTGATACAAGCAGTAGTAGTAGTAGTAGTAATAGAAGCAGCTGAATTCACAACCCAGTTGGTGATGCGCATGGCATAGGAATGGTAGCTACCATTCGTGGATCTCAGGCTGCCGGAACCGACGCTAGGCGCACGTGGGGCTGCTGTAGGGATGCAGGGACCACCATCGGGAAATAGCGGCCGCTATGGGGATATGTGCGGCCACTACAGGCACTCGAAAGACTATACAGTAAGGATACATTCCTTGAAGCCCGAGTAAGTGCCAGGTGATTCAAGCCGTCGGAAGGCCCAAGCGCAGGGCCAGCGGGATGAGCGCATCGTAGACGCCTTGCAGTCAAGGACCAAGCAACGCAAAGGCTCTTGGATTGCTTGGGATGAAGCGAGACTGCACAAGGTAATCAAGCTCCAAGCATTCCCCCCTCCTTGCTAAGCCCCGGGCTCACACTGAGAGGGCCCTAGTCATAGATTCTAATCAGGTGGGGCAAGCGGTAGGTAGCTGATTCGAACCATTATCCCGATCATATCCCCATAGCAGCAACTCTCCTTACTGGTCACTTCCCGCCTTTGTCGGGCTTCATCTTTCCAGACGTCATTTCTTGAAGGAGTTGCAAGGAGTAGGGCCTCGCTAAGGAGCAGAAAGAGCAATGATGCTGCTGCAATCTATATTGCTAGTAAGTATTAGTATTATACTATTGCTACAGTGATCAATATGGGTGTTTCCGGTTAAAGCGTGGTCAATAAAGCATGTTTGGATTGGGGTATGT